TCCATTTTTAATATATCATTATCTGTTTTAATGTCTATGTGATTGTTAACCTGTGATCACATTCAAACAATAGCTGTGATTTTCTGTGATTACTAGTTTTTTTATGGGCATTTTTTTGCCAGATTTATTTACTTAGCTCTGCTTCCATGATATTCTCATGCTTTATGCTAGCCATCTAACTTATGGTTGAAAAAAATTCTTTCCACTTATCACAAATCCTAAAAAACTGCTATGGAAATTAGCCACCTTGCATATGTGATTGCAAACAATTTTTTTTCATACAGTTACATGCATCTGCACTGATTTTCTGCTCTGACATCATTTTTGGTGATCTAGAATCATCAAAAGTGATGTCAAGACAGTCTCTCATAATTGTTGCATGAGGTAGTCACAATGTCAGGGACGTTTGTCAGTTATTCATGATATAATGATGTAGTGGTCTGCAAGTTGTTACAACCTTGAATTCTTGTCTCTGTAAGGTAGCGCGGGGGTGCTGTCTTCCTAACCTTCAACAATTTAAATGTTTCATGGCTTTATTTCATTCTCAAATCATAGAAGAAAATCATTTTCTCATTCTTCAAAGAAACAGCTCAGCCCTCCCATCATTTATTTACAGCTGAACTTGTTTCACTTTAGCCCACACTATCACTTCCTATGAGAACTCTTGAAAGGAAATTGTTCTATAAACAAAACAGCATCTTGTAAACTAAACAACATACAACATTGAAATTTGGCATGTGCAGAGAAAACATATAAAATAATTTTTCAGACTTATCAAATTTCAGGAACAGTAATTACATACAGCATAATCACAAATGAAAAATTAGCAGAAAATCACTATCTTACACATATTAAAAAAAAAAAACGTGATTACAGGTTAATTTGATTATTTATTGTACTTTTGTGTATTTTAAATTTATAATTCACTTCTTATATGTATAATCCATAATTTTTGCACAGCTGTGAAGGTTTTCTAAACACTTAATCATGCTCATTTTCATTTTCCATTAATTTATTGATTTTATCTTTATTAATTTTAGATCATAAAAATCAATATTTGTTAAAAGGAGATGGTCAAAAAAATCTTATGGTTTGACCTTATCAAAAGCTTTTTCAAAATCAATAAAGCATACATAGAACCAATTGTTATAAAGTATTAACATTTTCAGTTGTATTAATGCTCATACCTTCTAGGTATAAATCACAGTTGATTTTTAAGTATTTCTAGTATATCTGAAATGTTTATTAAAACAATATATAGCAAAGAAACATGATTTGTCAGAAAAGACATTTCAAAATTTTGACATTCTGCTCTATTTAAGACTTTTGGACCTTCCAGACCTAGAAGTTCACACACCCCTCCCAGGAAATATTCTGTTCATTTATGAAAATGCATCATTATTGAGGATGTGGAGGTGATGGAAATCAGGAAGAGAAAAGTTTTATGTTATTGGTTTTACAACAAAGGGGTTTATATGAAATTCAAGAATTATTGAGGAGGTTATGTGAAAAGATTTTGCACATAGTAAAATCACTGACCTTGAAGTTCATACAGTATTGGCAACAGTGACCATCCCGTCAAACCCTGTAATTTTCTACCAGCAAAGACTGTTTTACATTGTGGCAAATGAGTGCGCCAGCATACAACAGGTCCAAACATCAGTCTTTTGTACTGCCAAATATAAGAAAGTCAGTACTATCTCTCAAAATCAGCAAAAACATTTAGCAGGTATCCCAATAAGAGAAATTGGGAGAAATCTCTCCATTCCTAAATCCTCAGTCCTGTCCTTCCTTAAGCAACATTGTGCTAAGAAATGGCAGACATTTTTAACTCTTACCACATTTTTGTTTGGTCTCCATTATTTGTCAGGCTTATTCTGGGATATCTGGTTGCTGTGAGGAACAGGACTTGACTATCAGGGTTAAATTGTTTGAAAATTTAAATGCTTATGAAACGAAACCTTTAAATATTAAATTCATTTTGACATGTTGATATGCTTAGAAAATTGTTTCCCATTATACAAAGTTAAATTTTTTGGAAATTGGATGCATTTATTTTTATTTTTGTGATATTCAGAATTGTATATATCAGTTTATTTTAAATTGAATGAAGGATGTAAGTGATAAAACTTGTCTGATGTATCGTTAAATGTAAGATTCATAACACTTTATTCATACATAATGTATAAAATAGCCATCTAATGTATTTGGCTTGAATGTTTTGTACAGAATACAATCCCAAGTTAACTTGGGCTTAGCACTTTCTCATATTCCCTGCATAGTATCTCAAGTATTCTTGTTACAGTACATTGTATGACCAATGGGCTATGTTTGTAACAATACAATTGTGTTTCCAAAGCATTTGGAGAAGAAAGGTTGTGTCAAACTTGCATTGATTGTATTGAAATGGATAGAAAGGATTATTTCGGTTTCTTAGTAAAACTGAAATCAGTGATATAACCTGGCAGTTAATCTTTTGATCTGTCTACAAATGAAGAGGAAAGTGTAGATGGCAGTGAAACAAATTTATCTCAAGTGTGGAGCATGATGTCTGCACAACTTCCATTTCACCTGCTTGTTCTTGATTTTTCATTTTTTTTATCAATCCTGGTCCCATCATTCACTATTGGGATGATGTGCTGCAAATATTTGAATACTATTTTGACAACAGTTTTCTGGAATCCAATACAAAAGAAGACTTTAAAATATCTTGATCTAGTGCATCTATCTTGGATCCTAAGATCGTTTTTTCCCAACACATGAGGAAATTCAAATTTTTCTTTGTGCTTTCACTCATGAAAAGTGTTATATAGAAGCTGAAATTGCTTTTGTATTGATCTCACTGGACAAGCACTGCAACTTTGTTTTTTAATCAAGTCAGGTTAAACAAAAGATTCAGTTAGATCAAAAAATATCTACACTTTCTAGTAATGAGGAGTATAATTCCTCAAATAACACATGCTCTAAGCTAAATAAGATTTGTCTAGTATACTAGTACTTAAAGAATAAATTTCAATCTTCTTGCATAACCAAAAAAGACATTACTGTGGATTAGAGTTTTCTTTACAAAGGTTGGGTGGTTGGCTTCAGTATATCCTGTTGAAAAGAAAGAGATTTGGAATAACATTTTAGATGCCATGTGAATCTATTAATGGATATATGTGGTCCCTAATTATTTACTCTGGGAAAGGCATAAAGATTGACACAGAGTATGCAAATTTTTCTGTCTTCACAAGTGTTTTTGAATCTTGAAACCACTCCTTAAGAAAGAATATTGTTTGACCATAGATAATTTTTACATATCCGCAGCTGGCAGATCTACTTTTGAATTCTGCAGATCTGTAAGGAACAGTGAAAATAATATGCAAAGAGATGTCTCTCTCCCTCAAAAATTGCAGGTTGCAGAAGGGAGAAATTTCTGCATGAAAAAGAGAAAAAGTCTCTGCTTTATGACAAAGGGATAAAAAGGATGAGATCCTTCTCTCAGCAGACCACAAACTTGGTGGAAACTGAAAAATGAAAAAAAGTAATAGTCATGGACTATAACAACACAAATGAGAAGCAACAATTGTGTTGATCAGCATATGTTGATATACCCACTCCCCAGGAAGCAAGGAAAAAATTATTATAAAAAAGTTTTTTTTTTCATTTCCTGGAAATTGTTGAGTGGAATTCCTTTATTCTCTAGCTGTCACTAAGAAGGATTTTCTAGAATTTAAGTTTAGTAGAAAGAGTTATTGAGAAAAGCAAGGAATGTATTATTTCTCTGAAACCGAGTCTGCCAAGAAAGAACCTCCACTCACTTTGACTGATGGAATGATTTTTTCCTGAAATCATTCCACCAACTGAAAAGAACAATTCCACAAGAATATGTAGAACATGTTCTAAGAAGGAAAACCTGCTAGGTAAGTGCATAGGATGAGAAACATGGTAAAACATTTGGTGTACTCTATTTTTTGTTTTCTTTTTATACAACTTTTGTTGTTAATAAGACTTTTATTGTTAATGGAGGCTGGTAACCTCTGGTCTACAGACTTTACATGTACAATTTAAAATGAATAAATATTGTTTTCAGTGTAAGTTTTCATTGTATGCAATGCTATGATTCAAGAATTATTACACCCAAATAATATATAATAATTTCACGTTATTATATGTATGAATGTTCACTAGTAATACAGGTATACCTCGACTTACGTCGTTTTGAGTTACGTCGTTCCCGATTATACGTCGTTTATCAAAAAAGTATACGAAAAAATAAAAATCAAGTTTAAGTCATTTTATTCGACTTTACGTCCGTCCGCCACAAATATTGAAGTCGTAATATCACTAGAAAAGCGTTTAAAGCACATAAAATCATATTAAAATATATACATTTACAAGTATGTACTGTATTTACAGTACAGTACATGCATTCGTAAATTTAGATTACTTTTTTTTGTACGCTATTAAAAACTAAAATTTATTTTTTGTAAGCTTAAAATAGGTTCTTATTAACCATATATTATTAAAAATGCATTAATAAATAAAATACAGAACTGGGAATAGTAATTTGTGGTTTAGCCTAGTGTCAAGTAGATTGGGAGACAAGTAAGTTCGACTTACGTCGTTTTTCGACTTAAGTCGTTTTCCTGGAACCAATTACCGACGTAAGGCGAGGTATACCTGTATATGTTTATTTAACTTATCAATGCTTTTGCACTATTTTCAATACATGGTCTTTGTAATTGCTTCCATATTTTTCTTTTGTGCTTGAGTGAGAATAATCATGTAGACCCATCCTTATCTACTTAGCCTATTTAAAAAAAATGGTAATTATTATTAATCAGAGTTTTATTTCAAATAGACATTGAAAAAATTATAAAAATTTGGGCCACTTTTGAACATATTTGAGGAAAAAAATAGGTATATTAGGGAGTTAATACATTATATATATTAAACTCATAAAATTTTAAATTATATAAAAATAATTTTTTTAGTTATTAACTTGTTTTTTGCAGTGTGGAGATAAAAAAGTATCTCGTAAACATGCTGTATTAGAAGTTACTGAATCTGGAGATGTTTATTTAACTCCTGTAAGTAAACTTTTAAGTTTAAAGGTAAACGTATGTGATTTTTAAACTTAGATATATGTTCTTAAAAGTTACATTTCTAAAATCTTAAATTTTTATATTAAAAATATATTACATTTAATAATTTAAGTATCAGTATATAATATAATGGCTAGCAATTTATATCTATTACATTATATAAAGTTACTATTTTTTTAATTATTTTAAAAAAGCAACAGAATTACTGTTTTTTTTTTTAATTATTATTCTAATGAGCTTTTCATTTTACCAAAATAGTGAAAAACAGGTTCTTATTTTAAAAAAATAGTGATGATAAAATACCAATTAACCATATTACATTTAACAATTAAGTTTCAGAACTATTGGAATTTAAAGAAACCACATGTTAGAATGAAAAAATCATTTAATATGATGTAATTCTAAGCTCTGAAAGTTATTTCTCTTGATGTACTTGGAGACAAAATTGTCTTTTACTCATCAGGCTACAAGAGGAATTTGTGTAGTAAAACAAGTCAAACAACTTTACTTATGACAGATTTCATCTTGAACCAATTTTGAGCTGATTTTGGCCAATCTCGTGTCTAAAGAGTTAAAGTAATCACAAGAAGCTGACACTTTTGTACTCACTTATGGAACTATCAAAAATATTTTTTAAAGTCATTTAAATTTATTGCTTCTAATTTTTTGGTTGTATTGCTTTTAATATCTTTCATATCCTTAGTTTGGCTTTCTTCCAATGCTGATATGATTTTTTACTGTATGAGAAAGAAATTGAGAATAATGGAAATAATCTTTACTTTTAGTCTCATACTAGGGGTTTTGTAGCTTTGATGATTTTATTTGTTTGTAAACAAAGATAATTAAAAATAATGTTGTTGTTAATCTGTAAAAATGGTTTGTAAACAATTTAATATAAAACTAACAAGAACAAAATTACCAAAAATTTCAAATTTATTTGCAAAATAATTAGTCAAAAAAATTAATAATATAAAAAAAGAATAATGTTAATATTATATATAATATAATATTAAAGCTATTCAATTTCTTATTTTCAGAAAATAAGTACATCGTCTACATATTGAACATACATTATCATTAGCGCTTCATACTTCAGCAACACTGCGTTTTCTTATTTTCACAAACACCATTAGAATAATCTAAACATATGAAGTTATCACATATATGCAGCTATGATTAGTCATACAATTTTTACACATACACTGGTAAAATGTTAGAATATGATATTACTTTCAAAACATTGTCATGCATTTTCAATTTCTATAATTGATAACTTTATGTTGTTTTGACCCTAATACTGTAATTAGTTAATAAAACAAAATGAAAACAATTTGTGCCATTTGAAAAAACTTCACTATAGCACAAATATTCACAAACTACTAGTATCTAATAAACTCAATAAACTCTTATCATGTTAAAATATTTCATGTACTTTGTGATTCAGACTGATATTAATTGAACAGATCAGAAGTATTATTGTAAGAAGATATTAAAATGGATAATTACTTATGCTTGATTTAAACTTATCAGACAGATGCCATGTAGGTAACTGAAGATTAATCAAATAATCCAAAATTTGTTCATATTACTCTCTATTCATTGTCTAACTTGGAAGAACAAATTTTTTGTGAATGATTTTTTTGATGTTATAGAATGTTATCAGCATTAGTTCGGGTTTTGACTTTTGAAACTGAAATTATCTTACATTTTTACAAATTATTCAAATAATACAGAAGATTGTTATTATGTGCTTTTTTATCAATCAGTGGGCTTCAGTTGAACTTCAATTGAACATAAAAATGTTCTAATGTGTTTATGTGCAAATAACAGATGAAATATATTGTTTGCACATATTTCATCAAATATAAGCTTAATAATAAACTATGCTTTTAGCCCACAACTTTAATTTAGATAGAGTTAGATAGCCTAATAAATAGTATTTAACAATTTGGAGGGCTTATCACACCAAGGCCAATGGAAAAAAGACCTGATCTTTTATGACCACATTGTAAAATGAATTGTAACAAGGTAGTTGGCTTCACACAGTCTAATGGATTTGGTTTATTTGTTTTGTTTAAGGTCTTGAAACCAATTATTTTAATAATATGGAACTGTCTACCAGAATTTGGAAAATGTGGGAGAAAATAAGACATTTACTGGTCCCAAATAATGTGATATATCACATTATTATATAAATAAATTTTATGGTCAATAGTTTTAGTTCTTTAGTACATGGGTTGTATTAAAAATCATAAATACAGTGCACTGTATATATCAAAAATTGTTTTGTATTGGTTAACTATTAGTGTTATAATTATATGTTGGTGCTGTGTTTGTAAGCTGATGAGGGGTCCTTGTACCCGAAATGCATCCTTACCTAAATTTGAAGGTGATTATTAAAGACTAACTTTTTTGTAAAGATCTGGTCTTTTTTTCTGCCAGCCTTGGTGTGATGAGCCCTCCTAATTGTTAAATCCTATTTATTAAGCTATCTAACTCTATCTAAAATTTAAGCTTGTNCCCGAAATGCATCCTTACCTAAATTTGAAGGTGATTATTAAAGACTAACTTTTTTGTAAAGATCTGGTCTTTTTTTCTGCCAGCCTTGGTGTGATGAGCCCTCCTAATTGTTAAATCCTATTTATTAAGCTATCTAACTCTATCTAAAATATAAGCTTGTTGAAAAGAATAATGGCATTAGTCAACTGTGATATAAATTAAGTCTTTTTCCTCAATACTTTTGTATTTTTGTGGTAAACTCAAATATAGAATTTTTTTAATTGCTAAATTTTATAAATTAAAATTACATAAGATATAGTAAATAAGTTTGAATAAGTTGAATATATTTTAAGAGAGATATTTGTTGTTTTCAAAATGAAATTATTAATATTTTGCTGTAAAATAAATTATTAAAACAAAAAGATTTTTTTATGTGAAATAATTTATTAAGGCTTTAATAAATAGAAGTTACTATTTTTTTTTATAGATCTTTATTTTGAGAAAATCCTGTTTCTAGATTTTATAGAATCAATTTTCAAGTTACTAAAATATAAAATTAAAAAAAAAATTTGTTTAGAAATGTTAAGAATAAAGAATATTTTAAAATAATTTAAAACATAAATGAAGAATATTTATAATAAAGATTAAAACTTAGTTAAATTTCATTTATAACTTATGTAAAACATTAAATTATTAAATCATAAAATAAATATAAAAATAAACATGAAAAACATTTTTGTCAGTCTGATATGAATGAAATAAAATTCATTTAATAATTAGCATTTCAACAATTACTGTTTGTTCTTACTGTGTAATAAAACAGAATATTAATTATTATTGACTGCCATCCTACTAATTGGACTTTTTTTATATATGCTGTTGCTACATAATTTTTTAATATATTTTTATTCAATATATGTAGTTATTATATAAATAAATAAATATATATATATAACTACTCACCACACCACACTAACTTAAAAAATTACGCTCACGGAACCAATTTACAGTGTGGTAACATGAAAAAATGTCAAAAAACATCGAAAAACGAACGTTTTCGAACCTCTTCTGGGCTCTGCATCAGGTTCTAACGGTTTTTAGATGGAAATTCGATTAACAAATGCCGTTTAACTAAGAGTTCAATCTTGAGTTTGAAACGATTTACAAAAAATTTACGTCGCACATGTGCAATGGGTCGGCCTGCCTGGATACAAACCCTTTGACCAATCAGGACCAAATTCCACATAGTTACTCTCTGGTACCCTACAGAAAATGTGGACTACCATAAATCTCGGACACCTCAGTGATCCTCTCTGATTTCATCCCCCACCTCTAAACTTCCAAACCTTTTGAGCATTCTGGACAAATTTTGCACAGTTACTCTGCCACCCTGTAGGAAACATAAGCTATCTTATAATAAAGACGACAACTCAACCTTCTCCCTGAGTTCCTGGCAATGCTGGGCATTCTTTGCTAGTATCAAATAAATTTTTAGAAGAAAATATTATAGTTTTTCTAGTAAAAGGACATTCATGTATTAATCATTTTTGTCATTCTTTGCTCTTTGCTTCACAACCAATTTATATAAATGTAATATTATATAAACTTAATCTATGCCTTATGTAGACTCTTTAAATTATGTGAAGTTATATTTATCTAACTGCTCTTTATGCTCATTACAATAATAGAATGAAATAGATACAACATATTTTCTAAAATCAATTCAGTATAATAAGCATTGGAGCATATGAGTGCTTATTATACTAAATTGATTTTACAAAATATGTTGTATCTATTTCATTCTCTTATTACATTTATTACATTATTTATGAATTTAATAATAAAATAGAAATAAGTAGAGTAATAATTTAATTTAATTTTAGTAAGTACAGTAATACTTTGGTTTTCCTCGATAATGTCTGAAAACAATTGGCAAAATCTGAAACCGATGAAAACCGAGGCAATTATTTCCATATGAATCAATGTAAATCTAATTAATTCATTCTAGACACTCCAAAATACATACCAAAAACACATTTTGTACAGAATAAATATAGTGTTTAATACTAAAAACAATAAGAAATTAATATAAAGTAAATATAAAAGACTAATATGATGGCCACTGAAACAATTGATTGCCATCTAACTGTTTGATTGATCCAAATTAATAATAACTGTTTGACATCTTTAATTGTTTGCAATCTGTTTCATTAGCACATTCACATTATTCATTACATTAGCTCTCTTTATTGCTTCCTTTTTCACCACAATGGAACGTATCGTAGATGGTGACTTCTCGTACATGTGGCTGATTTCAGCAATCTTAATGCTACTCTCGTATTTTGTAATGATTTCCTTCTACAACGTGATCATGTTCCTGGCCTTCTTCGAAGTGTTGGTGGCTGAGGAAACTTTCTATGGTCCCATCATGGAGTTAAAAAGAAAGGAAAGCAATGGAATTGTTTGGCTAGACGTGCGGGTAATGCTCACACAATGAGAAACAATGCCACACTGAGCAGGTAAACGTGTGGGTCGCTCTTTGTTTTCACAAAATTACCACTGAGATTATGTGAGCACATCAAAGAAATCCTAGGCAACCAATGAAAACTGAGACAAATTTTTTGCGGAAAAAATCAACAAAAACTGAAATCGACGATAACTAAAGTCAACAAAAACTGAGGTATTACTGTATAGAATACTATAAATTAGAAAATTGGGATTTATTATCAAATGTAAGTTAAGAATTTTTTAATCTCATCTGTGTTATTTCCGATATATATTGGGGTCGTGACCTATCACCTGCAGGATTAAACTTGATATATCTCATTACAGTATCAGTACGTTTTTGGAACTAGATGTCGCTAGTCATTATAATTTTTATATTAAAAATAACTTCCAAAATATAATTTTTTTTGTTTTTATATTTATTAATATATCTATTTTGTTTGTGAAAAATAAAAAAATAATTTCAGACAATACAATAGCCACGATTATTTTTTTTTAAACATAAAACTTTTCATTAGACTTAACATTGACAAAAATTCAACATGGCGGCCACATGTAACAGAGAAAAATTTTAACATGGGATAGATTAATGTGCATATAATCTGAATATTTTCAATAGTTTTTATATATCAACTGTGTTCAAAAAAATACTTAAGAACATATCATTGAGCTACAATTCCCTGCTCTACATTATAACTTCACTTCAAATGCTTACGTGATGCTTGAAAGTTTCTTAAGTGATATTAGTAATAAAAAAATAATACAATAAAAACAGAATATTTCATATATAACATTATAAAGATATGTTTTATAAAATAATTAGATAATAAAATGAAAAATTTTATTACTATTTTAATATGTTCATTAACTGTATTTAAATACAGAGAACCTTGCTATTTTGAACTAACGGGACTTGTACTTGTTTGGCTAAGTGAGTGTTTTGGATTATCTAAAAATTTTTTTTACTGGTGTATTTTTTATGTTAATATGAGTTTGTTAATACATCATGGTTGGATGAGCTCATTGTATTATGTCAGGATGACTGTCACAAGTTTGTTTTTAATTGATTGTATGTGGTCTGTGTAAATCTATGCAACCAAAGTTTTAACTTACATGAAATGAAATGACGTAAGCACTATATAAACATAAATATGGGAAAGGATTCAATTTTTATGTCTTATTTCAGAGATCAACATTTGTTTTTGCTCTTTTATCTGCTGGAAAACAATAAAATGATAGGTTTATGATTTCCTCCTGTTTGTTACTACAACCATAAATATGATAACAAATGATCATCTTGAATTATTGTTACACATGCAATACCAAAATTTAAATATACTGTAAATTACAGAAAATTAATGTTGATTTAGCAGATATATGTCATTTGCAAAATCTTATGTTCTGCAGTTCATTTTGGAAAGTTTTTAAGCTGTACAATTAATGCCAATTTGTTAGTTTTCCTTAATTTCACTAAAATAATTATTATAAATTTTAAAATTGTTTATATTACTATAATTTGATTTTAGTATTTTTGGGTTTCATACACGTAAACTAGATATGATTTTTACTAAATGCTTTTATTTAACTTGCTTTGTGTCATGTTCTCAAATCTTCCAACTCAAATTTCATCCATTACAAATTAAGATAGAAGGCTGAAACTTTGAGGATATGCCTAAGTTAACAATGCATGATAGCAATGATAACAGTGCATTTTAATGATGTTTTAGGGAGTGACCCACTCCTATCATCCTCTCCCTCTCAAAACCCAATAAACATAACTAAATGTAGAATTTCTTCAGTAATATCAATTAGACATGGATATTTTAGATGTATTGTAGTGAGGGTGGCTCAACCCCCCTGTGTTTTTAAAAGCAATTAAAAAATTTTTTATTGTTGGATTATTACAATATTACTGTCTTATTTTTATTGAATATAAAACTTGTTTTATAAGGTTGTTTTTTTTTTAAATTTTAGTAAAAATAAAAGATGATACTATTTTAAAAATTGAATTACAACTATAGTGAAGTTTTTTGAAATGTTGAATATTTATTATTTTTTATTTAAAATGAAAAAGAATTTTATATAATGTTGACGTTATTTTGAGACTATTTTATTATTATTATATTCTTTATACTATATTAATATGATTAAATATATTTTGTAATATATTTTAATAGTGATAAAAGTTTTTTAAATATGATAACTAAATTTATTTTAGATCCATGTGAATCCTTGCTTTTATCATCCTAATTCAGAGAAAACAGCCAAAATATTAAAGAAAGATACTGCACAAAAATTAGAACCAGGTGATTCTTTTTCATTGTTACCAAGGGCATTTCGTTACCAAGTTATGATGGGTGATTATCAGAAAGATGAAGAACAAGAAAAGTAAGTATTGAAGAAATTTTTTATTTCTTTAATCATCAAAATTTATTTTTATAAAATTTAAATTTAAAATATAATTTATAATTTTTTTTAAAAATCATTTTATATAACAAAGAACATCACATAAATGTCCATTTCATATTTTGATGATTTGATTCTCAGGGTTTAAGCTAGGAAAAAATTTTCTGTAGCATTTTAGCTAATTTTACTAAAAGAGTTGTAGCAACATTTTAGAAACCATAGCTAATATTTATCATTTGTGAGACTTCCCAGAACAATACACAATACATTATTGTTTAAACATTTGTTTATTCTCATAGATACTGTACCGGTACATTATTACAGTGTACTGCACTACCAATATAACCATAAATCTATTGTTACAACCGACAAGTATCATACATTATTGAACAATAGTTCTTGGTTTTGATTTACACCAGGCAACAAATACTGAATGAAAATCAAATTCTCATCTTGGGGCTATTTATGGAGATGTTTAACGAGTTACTGACATTTTTTACATCAAGACAGTTTCCAATTGGAGTTTTTATTATTATCATCTCACTGAAACCTTTCACACTCAATAGTGTGCACTGGGTGTGAAAGAACAAATATAATAACTATTGACATAGGAGGGTAAACTGAGAGAAGGTCATTTATGAATATAATTTTATAAACTTCAGCTAATGACATATCCTTACATCTGACAGCAACAAACCTTTTAAACAAATTCCACTCCATCAGAAATTGTGTTTTTAAAATTACAATATTAATTTAACAATTAAGTATTCATTTATTGGAAACTTTTGTGTCTACAAAGCAGAGAATACATGATGCCCCATACACAAGGTGACATCTGTCAAGGTAGTAGTAGCAATGAGAGATTGCACTTGGTTGGTACTAACTGTCCCATTTTAGGAGAGATAGGGTTGCCACCTGGCCGGTGTTGGGTCAGTTTGGCTGGTGATTGACAAAAATATTTAAGAATCGGCAAAACAGTTTAAAATATAAACAAAATTATATTTTAATTGAAAAAATATTAGATTAAATTATTATTTTATATTTAGTATGTTTACTTATAATGATAAAACACTTGAATACCAGCTTAAATACTTTTTTGGCAACACTAATTTGTTTAAACAAAGATTTTCAACTTTTTACATGGGTCTATGTCAGGTTTAACAAGAAGATTGCCACTATTTAAGTTCAAATTTTTTTTATTAAACTTGACAGACTCGTGAAAAGGGTCAAAAACGTTCTTTTATAGAAATTAAAGTGTTGCTGAAAAAGTATTTAAGTTGCTGTTCAAGCTAAATTAGTTTCAGCTTATACAGAAGGGTTTTTTTATTGATAAAATGATTTTCCATTATAACTGACTATTAAAGTTTTTGTTATGATTTACAAATGATGCTGTAATATGTTGAATTTTCTAATGTGTTTCACACAATTCTAAGTAAAAATAATTGTTCACACTACATCTACTGCTGTTTTGAGTTTTAAAAATTGATTTTTCAAGATGAATCAGTCTAGACATTCATTTAATTCTTCTTTTCCTCGAATTGTGCATTTAGGAAAACTTGGCTTGAGTAAATAAATTTAAAACTTGGTTAACTTATGATGATGATATTCATTGCATCATTTGTTGAACCTCATTTAGTGTTAAATATGATGGAATTACAACATTTACAAGATATACCTATTGTGAGAAGCATTAAAAAGGAAGCACATCTTTTCATTACCTCCCCCTTGCCCTGGTCATCATATCAGCCAATGAAACAGTTTTCAAAGATGGCGACCTTAGATGACATGATGGGATAGTTTTTTTAGGGGATTAGCTGTAGTTTGTTTGGGGGTAGTGTTGCAATATTAACTTTATCTGCAATAAGATTACAAATTTATTTTCTACTATACAATAAAAGCATGCCTACCTACATATAAATGGAGAATTTTCAGGTTTCTTTCTAAAGATCAATTCTGGATTTCCCAATTGTTTTCTATTCTTAAGCTCTCTCTGTTCCCAAGAACTTGTGCTAGGTATTTGAATACATCTCAGATGCAATACTCATGAGCTCACATGATGACGAACAAGCTAATTTGAATACCAGAAACTATTGTCTGTCTTGCTCTGCTATTGGAAATTATAATTGTATTATAATAACATAGAGACCAAGCTATTCTGTGACCTGACTATTCAAAAAATTTTAATACAGTGGTACCTCGGTATACGTCTGCTTTAAAATACGTCCAATTCAGAATACGTCCTGTTTGGACGAAACAAATTTTGCTCGGTATACGACTTTTGTTCAGTATATAATTCAATTATACGCGCCATCTATGAACAAGTAGCACTATCGGTGTACTACACCAGACTAGACGTTCGCGGTGCCATGTTTTATAACTTTGTTAAATTTCTTCTGATTTTAATTTGTAAGTAAAATTTTATTATTTTTATTAATCATGAATTGCAAAAAGGCAAATGAAAAGCAACAGAAAATTTAAAAAAAAATGACTAGAATTACAATGGAACTGAAAAAAGAGATTGTTGAGAAATATGAAGGTGGCATGCTCGAGATTTAACTGTTTCATACTGTATTCTATGAACAACAATATCGGCATTCGTGAAAAATAAAGACATTATTAAATCTGCTAATGTTTCAAAAGGAGTTGAATCAATTTCTAAACATTAGATCATGTTGAGAAATTGCTTTTGCTTTGGATAACTGAAAAACAGTGTGCTGGCAACAGCGTATCAGACGCAATTATTTGCAAGAAAGCTAAAAAGATACATGCTGATCGCATGAAAAATCAAGCAGGAACTAGCCAGGAAAGCGAGGTATTTAAAGCCAGCCATTTTTTTTACATGAGAACAGATTAATCATTTTTGCATTACTTCTTATGGGAAAGGTTGGTTCGGTATACATTCTATTCGGTATAAGTCAAAACATCAGGAACCGATTAAGGTCGTATACCGAGGTTCCACTGTACTTTAATTAATTGCTAAATTTAAACTCTAATCATCAACAGTTTTAATCAGCTTGTTCTCAAATATTCTATACTAGTTAGTTACTAATTATGCTGTACAGTGCAAAGTGACAGCATCATGTTACCTTATTTAAATTCTTTTTCACAAATTATATTCATTGCTTGTTTTCAAGAACTCTGTTCTTAGAAACTCATTTGATTCTTAAAAGTATTTGATTCTACCTCTGGTTAATTTCAACAAAGACTAATATTAACCTTGTGTTTGTATGTCCCCTTGTCACTTATTTTTATGAAATGGTTCAAAATCATTTTCAGAATACAGTTTGTTATGCTCTGTGGTGACTGTTTTACCTCAAGATAATTGTATTCATTTGTCTACAAGTTGAATCTTAACCCAAGATCATATGTGGTAGTGGCAATTTTTTGCATCTACTAGTTTTCATTTTTTTGCTGGCATTTTTCACCAAATTGACTTACTTAGCTGTGCTTCCATGATATTCTTATGCTACATGTTATCCATATGACTATGTAAAAATCTTGGTCAAAAAATTTATACACCTATCATAGGTCCTCAAAAACTGCTGTGGAAAATTGCTGCCTTGTATATGTGATTGCATATAATTTTTCTTTATTGTCATACAGTTGACTGCATATGACAGTGATTTTCTGCTCTGATGTCATTTACTGTGACCTGATATCATCAACAATGATCTTATGAAAGTCTCTCATGATGGTCACAAGAGGTAGTCACAATGCCATGGATGTTTGCCAGCTATGCATGACATAATGACATAGTGGTCTTCAAGTCACTATGACCTTGATTGCGTGTCTCTGTAACGTAGCCTGAAGTGCTATGAACTTCAGCAATTTAAATGCTTTCACAAGTTTATTTCATGCCTGTAAAATATAGAAAAATTATTTTCTGGTCCTTCTGAGAAACAGCCATCCTGTCACTTATTTCCAGCTGAACTCATTTCACATTAGCCCATGCTATCACAATTTGAACGGCTCACTAAGGGAGCTGTTGTAAAGATGTTAATATGTAAATAAAACAATATTTCATAAACTAAACAATGTAGAACATTGAAATTTGGCATGTGCAGAGAAAACCTATCACAGGATTTTTCAGAATCATCAAATTTGAGGAATAGCAATTACATGCAGCATAATTACCTATGAAAAATCAGTAGAAAATTATTGCCTTACACATGTAGCAATGCTAAAAAAAGCCACATGTGATCATAGATTAATTTTATATTTTATTTGGGTTAAAGTTACTTTCTTAGCACTCAAAAATGTCTTCTGTTTCTGTGTTGGATAGGTTTCCAATGTACAGTGAAATTTAACATAGAAAATTTCTTTGTTCCGAAGGTTTTCTTCTTTAGGCAGTTTCCATTTTATTCAGGTTCTGTCAGACAGCTTTTACTGTCTGACAGAACCTGAATAAAATTTTACTGTATTTTTGTAATTGACTTTGAATAAGTATACATGAATGAAGTCGGAATGAAGTTTTTTGTTGATTTGATATACAATATAATTTTATAAAGACAATAAAAATCTTTATAAGTTTACTTTTTTAAATAAAATATTTTCTGAAATCAAAATTGTTATTAAATGATAAGATTTAAATTTACTTAGATGAATTATTATGTTAAATTTTTAAAATAGTAATATATAAGTATATTTATATATAGCAAAATACAAAATAATAAAGATGTTGAATCAGTGCAAGAAAATGCTGACGAAGAAATAAAAATGGAACAAGAAGAGCAAACAGCAGATGATTATGCAACTGAAAAAGGTATGTTATATTACCTATTATGATAATTTACATTTATTTGAATATTCTTAACTGAATTTTATGCATTTTAATAATAAACTATTTCAAAATATAGTATTTAAATCTATGTTAATTTTTTTTCTTGTACTTATTTATATATGTTCTGTTTTAAGAAAATGTAAACATTTTTTATCATTTATTATCTGTTTTGGGTTATAAAATTTTTTATCATCATTTTTGGCTTATAAATCAATGCAGAAAGAGAATTGAATTATTTAAACCCACCAATTATAATTAATGTTAAGTTGATTTTGAATTTAAATTAAACAAATATAACAAGTATAATAATTATTATTCAATTTATTGTCAATTATTTGATACAAGCCAGCATTTTTTTACATTAGTTAATTAACAATACAAAGGCAACATTTTACAATTAGCATAACTATCAGGTCAGTCCATAAGTTCATGCGTATTTTATGACCTTGAGAAAAATCTTGTTTTGCTGTTAAAAATGCCAGTCTAATGTGATACTTTTTACACTGAAGTGTTAAATTGGATCTCATTCATATAATACTGTTCAGAATTGGGAACATTTCAGTTGTTTATTTTCGTTAAAATGGAAGTAACAGATGAATATAAGAGACATGTTTTATACTTTTTATTTTTAAGTGATGAGAATGCTACAAATGCAGCCAAAAAATTAAATACTGTTCATAATCAAACTGTAATAAGTGTAAGGACTGCGCAGAAGTGGTTTGAAAGATTTAGAAATAATGATTTTAGTGTGGAGGATAAGGCTCGTACTGGAAGACCCGTTGACTTTGATGATGATGCTCTCTCTGCACTAGTTGAAGCAGAACCATCTTTAACAGTTGATGAAATTGCGGAACGTTTAAATTCATCCCATGGAACTGTTCATAGACATCTACAACAAATCGGAAAAGTTTCAAAGCTAGGAAAATGGATACCACATGAACTGTCAATAGCTAACTGACAACAACGTCAACTGCTCAACTCAAAAGCTTCAACTGGGAAATTTTACCTCATCCACCATATTTGCCAGATATTGCTCCCAGTGATTATCATCTTTTTCGGAGTTTGCAGAATTTTTTAAAAGGAAAAACTTTTGAGGATGAGAACAATGTAAAAAAGGCTATTTCTGAATATTTTGATTCAAAACCGAAATCATTTTACAAAGACAGGATTAAAAAGCTACCATCAAGATTGCAAGAAATTGTACAAAATAATGGTGAATACATTATAGATTGAAATAAAATTTAGTTAAAATTTTTTGTTGCTTTTTTTGTAGATAAAAATGTGCATGAACTTATGGACTGACCTGATGTATATATATATCATTGTGTAAAATTGCTTTTAATAATATATGTTAATAGAATCCTAACTATAATTCTATAGAACTGTTTATTATATATTGCAATATACAGGGTCCATACATACCTGTAAAGTCAGGAAATCCACAAATACTGCGGAATCTCTGTTGCTCTTGCTCTTTTTTGATCAGAACACACCTTTAAATTCGGTTTGGTAAAGGAGATCTATGAAAACTGGAGTGACTAAACAAATGGCAAGATTTGTCGTGCTTATATATCTTGTAAACTATAAATGATAATCTAACAATTCAAATTTTTCAGATAGAAGGTTTACATCTGTATTTAAAATGATGGGTAGTGGAGGTGTGCAGCTTTGTTGTTGTGAGGGGCAGTGAACTTTTGGATCATGAAGCGATAAGATGTTGAAATTGGTGTCAATTTGTACAGAACAACATGATCTACAATATTATTTAGTAATAATAATTGACAAAATAGAATTTGTAAAGTTATAAGCTGATAAGTGTGCAAGTTGAAGAAAATTTTCATAATGTTGAAGAAATTACAATGGAAAGACGAACAGAAATGTAAGAAATGTATATTATTGGAAAGAAAAATTCTAAAGGAATCAGAAAAGTCCAAAATGACTAATGTCAAACAATGAAGATTGTATAGTGTGTGTAAGAAAACCAAGCATGTCAATTCTGACATGAATATTTTGAGTGTGCTGCCACCCAAACTGATAGATATTGACTTGGAATGTGGATAACCAACAAGATGATGATCATTTACATCTTATCCTTCCTCTAATAACACACAGACAGATTCACACCTTAAACAATTGTGATTGTGTCCCATACACAATCCTCCCAATTTTTTTTGACCTGTGTGACATTTGGTTAACTCATTGCAGTCAGTTGCTGTCATGGGGAGGCAAAGAACTGTCAGTCGGCATAATGATATTGTGTATGGGACATTTTGGAACATGTGGCAGGACTCACACAATTGATGTAGTTTTATTTGTTGTATTCTTCACTGCTGCTCACATACAATATGTGGAGATAATAATCTTGCCAATTTTGACGGATTGATGATTTGTGATATGTCTTTTCTCTAACTGCAAATTTGTGTCCACCAGTGGCCAACCAGTCTTCATACCCTGAACACTGGGAGTTTGGTTGTGGGTTTGTGCCTCACTTGGACAGGCTGGCCACATGGAGTTTTCTGGGTTTTCTCTATGTCTGTAATGCCTAAATAGGGGCCAGTTTTCCTTAAAAAGACCTCCCGGAAGGCATCCCCTAGGCAGATTGCCCAGGTATTGCATTGCCATAACTTAACAAACAAACTAATCAACTGCAAATTTTTATTTTCAGATGGCTCATAGAATTTCAGAAGTATACCAAAACATCACCATAGAGTTAAAGTCAGGTTTTCAAAAACACCATTGACAAGATCCACTTTTCTACCAAAACGCTGCCACTTCCACTATAAATTTCAGGGAGGGATGGTAAAAAATGTAATGATCTTGAAGGGGTCTCTTCTGGACCATGTTGGCTCTCCATTTATTGCAATTCTGAAGTGCTTCAATTACCTTAGTCACTGCACATGTTCAGTAAAATTGCCTTCTGGTTAGAATTGCCATCAAGTACAGTGGTGCCTCGTATAACGTACTCAATCCGTTCCAGGTGCACGTCCGTTAAGTGAAAAGTCCGTTATACGAAACTCATTTTCCCATAGAAATACATGTTAAAACATATAATTTGTTCTGCAACATAAAATAACCATACTATACCATAAAAAATGAAAATGGAGCAGTCACCAATTATGCTGGATAGTCAGATGTTGTGAGGAGGAGGTGGAGGAACACTTTCTTCACACATTCATACAGATAGAGACTTTTTACACATTGCAGCAGGTCTCTTTTTATTGTTTTTTAATCAGAGTCAGATTCAGGAGAGGCTACCGGAGCTTGCAGGGTCAACTCCACTTGTTCCATCTTTTGTTATTTGGCAGCTGGCTTCTTGAAAATCATGTCCAAGGTGGTCTGTTTCTCTCTCTTTTTCAACACCTGTCGGAAATGACGGGCAAGGGTGTCATTGTACAGATCCTGTTGGCCTCAGCTCTGTTCGGATAATAAGTGTTGGTAAACTCCTGAACCTCTCTCCATTTGACAAGGAAGTTTTTGTCAACTTTCACTCCTTCTGATGATTTCTTGCTTTGTTTCAATTGAAGTCATTTTTCTGTTTTTTTCAGAAGCCATGATTTGCACAACACTTGAATAAATGTAAATACCCTACACTAAGGTGATGTACGTAATAAACAATGGAGCAAGCCTAATCCCAACGGGAGCTCTGTACTTCAGATATACTAATAATATATTCTAATAATACTAATATATTATAAAAATAGCATATTGTCATTGGCAACGGCAAAAGAGTGGAAACATCATTCGCACTT